TTTTTTCTCGATGAGTTTGACAAGGCTGAATTGTTTAATGCATTCTATGCAAAGCATCTTACGACGAAATCTGAACAAGTTCCGTCGTTTCAGCCATACTTAGTTCATATCATCAGTACCATTGATTTATCCGTAAAATTGATTCGTAAGCCCATTATTCGTCTAAAAATTCACACTCTTCGAGAACTGACGGTATTCCGAACATAGTTATCAAGAGAGTGTTCAGCTGCCCCCGATTTCTCAGCCATCTACTCTCAGCCTATCTTTCAATTGGTTTCTTTCCTGACTCATAGAAGACATTCATTATTTTTCCTGTCTTCAAGTCAGGAACTTATTCGAAAGTAAATAATTATCCAGGCGTTCACAAAAACCTCAGCTCTAGCAAACCTCTATGGAAATATTATCTTTAATCAAATTTTTGACTTTTGCCTAGAAAATAAGCTACTAAGCTACTCACAGCATGGGTTTTACCTGAAAGATCATGTGAAATCTGTTGCGGCGTTTCCAAGGCACAGTTTTAGGTCTCCTCCTTTTCATTCTTTACATAAATGAAGTTTCAACAATACCCGAAAACTCAGAAAATTTTATTTATGCTGAGGATCTTAAGTGTCTTTAGAAATTTTTTTAAGGACACGACCAATAGTTGCGTTGATAAAATGAACACCGATTTGCGTACGCTCCCACGTTAGAGCGCTAACTGACAGATGGGGTCTTCTCCATCCACATATAGTTTCATGTGTTTTGGTCCCGCCAAGCTTCCTGGGCCCATCATCTTCCAAAACAGTCTATTCTGAAAACTTAAACTCACTGTGTGAAAACTGCAAAGAAGGCTATGGGCATCCTATTAGCGATCAGAAGATCCTTCCTCTATTTTGATGCGGAGCTCTTCGGGCGAATGTTTGTAAACTTTGCTCAGCCGATGTTAGAATATTGCGTCCAGGCGTGGTCCCCTGGATGAAACTAAATTAAGTGGTGCTGGAGGAAGTTTAAAGAAGGGCGAACAAATTAGTCAGCGGCTTAGGTGATCTACTATATGGAGGTCAAATAGAAAGGCTCCAGCTAATTCCTCTCCGTATTATCGGCAATACAGAGGAGATATGATCATGGAATTTAAACTCCTCAGAGGAGTAAACTGTGTATTTTAACTTGACTATTTTTGCATACCGTTCATAGGGATTGCCTATTACTTCAATATACTGAACTAACTGAACGACATGAACTAAAATGTCCTGTACTGGACTGTTTTTTCATTTTTACATATTATTTTAGCGCTGATGTATAACTTAATCCAATAACAAAATATATAGTAATTTACGTGTCCTTGGCAAATTATACGTTTTCATCAACTAACTGATCTTTTACTGAGCTGCACAAGAAGCGCTAGGAACGAAGTGATTTGGAAACGCTAGCTACGATGGTTCACTACTCGAAGCTCTTGCCTCCCCTATATGAACTTCCAACCTGTTTCCCCAGATATTATGGTGGAGTTCTGCTAGTTGGATTTGGCAGTTTTGCTCTGAACATGTACTTCGCTGCTCGTGTCGTGCGAGGTCGCAAGAAGTGGGACATAAAGGTACCCATAAATCAGCTACTCAGAACGTTTTTAGGCCCCGATAATGTATCATCCAACGAACGAAGAATTCAACTGCCTTCAGCGAGCGCATCAGAACTAGTACTGTTAACTTATATTTTGGGTTTACTTTAGTCTCGAATTCATGCCATACTTCCTGATGGGTTTGTTTGTTGGTGGTCTTCGGTGCCCCGTGAGTGTTTTTTCCAGTATAACCTTATAGTTTAGGTGGGCGCTGCGGTTTGTGGTTCCATTTACCTAGTAGGAAGAGTGGTTTACGACCGCGGGTATACGAGTGGGAGTAAGTTGCCTTTCAAACAGTCCCATTTTGTTCTTTTTTCGGAAGTAACTCTCGGTACGGTTTTTCGTCGTTAGTTCTTGTCCCCTGCGCTTCATTAGGCCGTGGGGGCAGCATAAAATAGATGGTCCTCAAGTGAGCTTTTCTTAGTTTCATACCTTCGTAGGTGTTTTTGTGGCGTAGTGCTCACGTTTATTTGGTATATTTGTGTGTGCTCTATCCGACTTCACCCCCAGTTCAGCATATTGGGCTTCGAGGATAGTCCTGATTCCAACTTCAACGGCTCTGCAGAAATGGAGCCATTTTTGCGAGAGACGGAAACCTGATACCGAAGGTCGCAAATCCGCTCACTGTTTGAATGGACTGCGTCGAGCCAGGCTTTACGTTAACTCTTTTCTGCCTGTAGGGGTGCCCTATCAAAATGAGTAGTACTAGACTTAAAGAAAAACTGGCTCAAACCATCGACCGTTTGGATTGACTGTGTGGTCATATTGAGTTAAATTTTCCTTTGCGGAACCATGCGAATTTCAGCAACATTGAACTCATAAAGCGGGAGAAGTAGAATTTTCCCAACACGCTTCAGTAGTTTTTTTCCCCTGAGATATCCTCTTCTCTCAGCGATTACAGACCGTCTCATTTGAGAGTGAGCTGAAGTATTTCTCATGCAGGATAATTTTCCAGTAGTGATGTTTAGATATCAACCTGCGTTTGTTTTCTGCGCACACAGGCAAACACTCACAATCATGTACGTTAACTGACGGGATGGATTCTTGTACACGTGTTTTTTGACGATAGGGGCTAAACCATTTCCTAAGGTAGTGTAGATTCCGGTGACGCTGTTTCGTTTCACGTCTAGCTGAAACACCCGATTATTTCAGTCGATTCTTCAGTCGTGCACTTTGTGAATGGCAATAGCGAAAATCTCTGCAATTTTATTTTTGTCACCTACATTCCTTTAGAATTATCCTGACTTCTGTTTACTCACTCCACAGATCCGCTGAATCGCC